ATATGAAAAGTTTACTTAAGTCACAAATACAGAAACAAACAAGACTTTTTACTAAAACCAGAACCAGAACCCTGCAGGAGTAGATGTCACTCTGTCTACTTTTAAGATTAGACTGAAGACTTTCCTTTTTGATAAATCCTATAGTTAGACTTAGGTTTCCTGAATTATTCTTCATTTCTGCTGCTGTAGACTTAGACTGCTGGAGCACAAACTGAGCACATTTCCTCACTCTGCTGTTGTCTTTAGTCTCTCTTCTCATGTTTGCTATAATTATATATCATATAATAATAATATCAATAACGTGTTTCTTTGTCTCTCTTCCAAATGAATGTGCACCTGGACCAGTCTTATGTTTGTCTGTGTCTCTTTCCTGTCCTCCAACCAGCCGGTCGAGGCAGATGGTCTCCTGTCCTGAGCCTGGTTCTGCTGGAGGTTTCTTCCTGATTAGCAGGGAGTTTCTCCTCTCCACTGCTGCCGGTGTGCTGCTCAGGATGGGAGRCTGTGACGAAGCAAAGATTTGGCATGGTCTGCTGGCCTCTTTAGATTTAGATTTGGTGGAGCAACCCGGAAAAGGTGCGGGCGGCAAGGACTGACACGAGGGGGTCACCCGACGCGTCAAAATAAGACGCAGAGGGAACTTTGGAAAAACGTCAATATGTTGACGAGTCGGGAGTGAGAAAGTGTTAGTCTGTGTGTTGACAGCTCGGCATAAACCATCACAGAGCGTTGGCAGTCTCTACAGGGCCCGAACAGCTACCAGATATACACCTCAGCCGATCGATAGAAATCCAGCTATCATTAATCCAAATATCCAAACATCTTCAACTTCCTCAATCGACAATTGAGCCAGGCACATGATCCTCCCCTCGCCCCAAGAGTCCTTCATGCGTCCCACAGCAAAATGAAGGGTCTCCTTCACCCAACTTCAGTGTAGAAAAAAAAGATCAGTAGTGTTGAGACACCAGCTGACCAGATCCATAATTTCTAGTTTTGGATGAATAAAAACAAACAAACAGCACAGCAAGGTAGATAAGGGAAGGCTGAAGAGAGATGAAAAAAGTGTCTGCCTTCTCAGAGAGCAAAATATAAATAAAAAATAAATAAATAAATAAATAAATAAAACAAAATAACAACAGCAAATAATAACATTTCAAATTTAGTGGCATAACCCTTGCTTGCGATGACTGCCTTAAGCCTGCGACCCATCGACACCAAGTACTATAAACCTTTGGTAAAAACATAAAGTGACTACATTTTAACAACTGAATGTAAACAACAGTAAGTGACCTGAATTTTATGAGAGGAACCTGTAAATAATTTTTAAAAGTCCTCCTTCTTTGTGCTGTTACTTAATGCCAGTGGTGGGCAGCGCTAAAACAAAAATTAGCTCCCAATAAGTGTGTTTATCTGGGAGGGGTGCTGGTGGACAGATCACATGTTGTGATTCATTGACAGCCATACCTTCTGCTGTTCAAAATAATGATGACTGGTAGATRATTAGTTRTTAGCAGTACCGCATTTTAATTTTAGAAAGCGCAAATTAATTGTAAAAATTAGCATGACCGCTAAAGTGCAAACATAATATTTAGGTCCACAATTAGAGGATTTGCACTTTAGTGGTCTTGTGCCCACCACTGGTTAATGCTTAGTTGTGGCTCTAACACAGGAAGTCATTTCCACCACTCGTGGCATTTAGCAGGCATTACTACTGGTGCACGCAGAGAGATGGACAGAAAAATGAACGGCAGAAAAGCCAGAGAATGAATAAAAGCTGCACAGAGCTGCAGTTATGAGAAAAATAAAACGGAGCTGTCGCTCCCGTTGAACCTTCAAATGTCACTCATCAATCAAAACGCTCAGTTTCTATGGAAACACTCACCCATGAACTGGAACGCTGTTATTACTYGAGCTGAAAAGAGATGAGAGCGATGTCAGTCAGGAGAAAGGACAGGTCACACATATCTACACACACACACACATTTGTTCTTCTATCCTCATGGGGACTTTGCGTTGACTTCCATTTATTTACCAGTACTTTCTTTAGCCTATGAGCAAAATTTTCATTTGCCTCCCTTCAATGACCAGAGAACAACACCAGGAACCACCAACAGAGGGACCCCCAAAAACACAGGTAGTGCCCCTTCCAGACTTGGGAAAGACACCTTGGGCCTGCCAGACC